AGTCGGCCCAGCGGGGCAGCGGCCCCCAGGGAGCCTCGAGGGGGTGGGACTGAGTGGCCCCCCAGGACGGCACACCCCAGCGGGGTGACCAGAGAGCAGGTCCATCCCCACTGAGGGCGCCGTGCCTTTGGGGTCCTGTTCCTCCTACGAGGAAGAGGTGAAGGGGAGACATTTCTGTGGAGTCAGGCCCAGCACAGAAGGCAGGACCCAGGGGAGGGCTGCTCTGTCTCCTGTTTCGGGGTCCTCTCCAAACCCAGGGCATGCTGGGCCAGCCGCCTGGTGGGGGCCCGGCCACCCCCAGAGCCACCTGCCCCTCCTGGGGCTCTCCTGCTGCAGAGGAGGCTGGCTGGGTGGACGGCGGCCCCAGGGGTGGGCAGCGCGCAGGCCTGGTCTACAGCCTGGCGAGGGCAGGCTGGCCTGCCTGCCCCATCTCACGCTCTCTCTAACTACGCCCCTGCGAGCCTTCCTGGGACCAAGAAATCTGCGGTTTCTGGGGTTATTCTAACAGATGCCCAAGGGGTCTTGGTGGTGCTGGGTGAGAGGGCGGAGGCACACCCAAAAAGCCACCACTCGCTAGAAAAACAAAAACACCCAAAGAAAGAGCAATAACAAAGGCGGGCAGTGCGCATGCCCCGCGGCAGCCCGTACCTGAGGTGCTGGCGCCACCTGCTGGCCGCCCCGTGCCACGCGGCCCAGGGCCCCCTCCTGGCCCGTCCTGGCCCGTCCTGGCCTGTTCTGGCCCGTCCTGGCCCGTCCTGGCCCGTCCTGGCCTGTTCTGGCCCGTCCTGGCCCGTCCTGGCCGGGCTCAGCCCGCGCGGCCACCCAGCACCAGAAAGCCGGGGCGCACACATCACTGTCCTCCACCTGCAGCCCCGGCCCTTCCCATTTCACGCAGGAGCAACTTCAGACCCCTCAGCTAGGTACAGGAGGCCTCAACCGCCTCCTTCTGTGACGCTGCTGTGGGGTCCGGCTCTCCGGGTCAGCCGCCTTCCCGAGGGCGCCCCAGGCCCTTCCGGCAACTCTGGCTCTCGGGTCTGGGGGGACAGGCTGTCTGAGGGTGACTGATCGGAGGCGCAGGGAAGAGGTGGGCACCCCGGGGAGGCTGATGGTGGCTTTTTCTTCCCAGATGGAAGATCGCCTCAGCCGAAGACAGGGCCACGCGCTGCCCCCCACAGGCCCCATGCACCCGGGCGAGCCCCAGCCCCGCTACCCCGCTCTGGCGGGAGGGCGCTGTCGGCCGGGACCGGCTTCTTGGGGTGAACTACCTGAAGCACGTGCAGTGGCTGGAGGCAGCTGGAATTTGAGAATCCCGAGGCTGATAGGAATTGTAGGTCTGGACTCCCGTGCCCGGCCGAGGACGGCATCCAAGTCTCCGGTCTCCTCAGCATCCTCAGGTCTTGTGGCCCCAAAGTCTCCACCGGGGATGGGGTACACCCCAGGGACTCCTGGGGCTACAGACGTTTGTCCAGGAGCCGAGTTGGGGGCCCAGCTTATGGAGAGCGCGGCAGCGAAGGCCCTGGGAGGGCCCCCTGGCTGCCATCTCCGCTGGGGAGGGCAGACCTGGGGCTCCCGACTCAGGCCTGGAAACTGAGCTCGCCCGCTGGAGCCCCGGGGCCGGGGCCGCGGCTCTGCCTGGAGATGAAGCTCTGGGGCCCCTCAGACGGGAGCGGGAGGGAGCCGTCGCAGGATGAGGCTGGAGAGCAGTTAGCGAGGTGACAGGGTTCCTAAGAGAAGGTGGCAACACGTATGGGGGGAGCAGGAAGACGAGGCGCAGTACCCCAGCCACCCACCTCCGGGAACTGAGAGGACGGGAGGTGTGCTGGGAGGGACCGGGAGCCAGGCAGACCCCCCAGGACATCTCCCCCGCCCGCCACCAGGGCAGGCACCAGTCCAGAGGGGCGTCTAGCTGCCCACGGGCGGCAGGCGAGGGGCCCCGTGTCAAATGCCGTCCCTGGAAAAGCTGGGCTGCCCAACCACAGGGCACCGGCGTCTCCAAACCCAGAGCCGGGGTGCTCGGCCGCTGGGTCCCCCTCAGCCCTGGCCCCTGGGGCACCCACCGCCCCCACCCCAGGCACACATGCTCACACTTCGCCATAACTTTCCCTGGTTTCCCCTTCATCATCTGTGCCCCAAGTGGTGTCTGTAGCGACTCCCCATTTAGCGTCACCTGCAAGTGCCGTGCACACGCTGGCTGCTCCCGCCATAACACAAGCGTTGGGTTATTACCCCCGGTCACCCCGGCAGCGGGTGCACCAGACAGGGGTTCTGCAGAGGTTGCACCTCAGTTCTGTCCCTGGACACGCCCAAGCCGCTGGGAGAAGTCCAGCCGCTCCCCTTTGTCCCTCTGTGGACCCCAAGGGAGATGCCCTCGGCTCTTGGGTGCCGGGTGGAAGACAGAGTCTTGGGGAGAGCGGCTGCAAGACCGACCCGTCCTCTCTCCTCTCTGCTCTCTCCCGCACTGAGAATTCATATCCTGCCATTCCCCGCGCCCCTGCTTTCCAGGGAATGCCCTGAATCTGCGCCTTTGACCCCAAACCCCAATGAGAACCGGCTGCGCCGGGGGGGGGGGGGGGGGCAGGGCTGGCTCCCCAAGGGGGCCCAGCCTCTGTCACGAACGTCACCTCCATCCCCTCTGCCCGCGCAGCCCTGGCTCCCACAGCTGCCAGGACCCACTCTCCCTCTGGCGCTTCCCGGGGCCCAGGCGCGCACCTGCCCTGGGGTCTGCGGTCTCGGGTCCTCCCGGGAAGTGCAGCCCAGCACCGAGCCTGTGAGCCTGTGAGCCCCGGGACCAGGTACATCTGAGGCCAGAGGAGGGCCTGAGGAGGGAGGGGGTGCCTGAGGGTCTGAGGTGGGGGGGGCAGGCCTGAGGTCGGGGAGGGTCTGCAGAGCAGCATCCAGGTGCTGCTTCAGCCGGGCCTGCGTGTCCACACGCCCCTCGCTGTGGTCAAGCCCTCCGGTGGGGCGGGCCGAGGCGCGCAGGTCCCCTGTGGTCCGCGTGTCCCTCTGGGCTTCACTGTTTCAGCGCGTGGGGAGCGCCGAGTGCAGAGATTCCTCGCTGCGCTGGGCTGTCCTGGAGCCGCGGTTCGGAGCGAGGCTCCTTCCGGCAAACGGCCGTCCCTCCCCGTGTCTGCCTCAGCCCTGAGCTTGGCCTCCGCCGCAGGGTGGCCTCAGCGCACGTCCACCGTGCAGCAGAGACGCCGGAGCTTCCGTCCTTGCAGGGCCGCTGGAGCCGCTTCCCCGGAACAGACGCCAACCCGGGGCGGACGGCAGGTCCTGCTCAGGTCCACCCCGAGGCCTCCCGGCACCCGGAGGCCTTCGGGAGGCCCTTGGGGAAGAGCAGGGAGGTGTTTTCTCCCTGGCGCTGAAAGCTCCCGAATGGTGTGTGTGCCTGGGGGAGCTCCTCCCCTTAGGGGTTCCCTGGGGCTTGAAAATGGGGGATGGGGACTTGCATCTTCACATGGGACATTGTCCTCCCAGAGCCAGCTCTGCCCGGGAGGAGACACATGCCACCTGGCCCAGGTGAGGGGTCCCTGCAGGTGAGGGGTCTCTGCAGGTGAGGGGTCTCTGCAGGTGAGGGGGTCTCTGCAGGTGAGGGGTCTCTGCAGGTGAGGGGTCCCTGCAGGTGAGGGGTCTCTGCAGATGAGGGGTCTCTGCAGGTGAGGGGTCTCTGCAGGTGAGGGGGGTAGCAGGGTCAAGGGCAAACGCTGGCCCTGTGCTCCCAAGGACAGACCCCATCCAGGCTCCTCTTATGCTGCTTCACCTGCGGAACAGTCCTTGGATGCTCGCCTGGAGGCCAGAGGCCCGAGCCGGCCGCACCTGCGGGAGGGGCCAGAGAAGGGCCGGGACAGTCCCGGCTCTAAGTGATGTTTTACCCCGAGGCGAGACTCTTGCTTCCAGACAGTCTGTGCAGTTCAGGTTCTAGTTTAATGTGTGTTTTTTTTTTTTAATTGGATGATCCCAAGGGACTGTCTTCCCAACCCAAACACCCCCCCCCCCCACGGAAAGTTCGATTCCTTCTGTGATGGGAGTTGCAGAAGCTCTTACTGTGGGGCAGACACAGGTAGGGGTGACAAGCTCGTGTTCATTTATTTCCTCAGTGCCTGGAGAAAGCCGAGAGCCAAGCACAGTGCAGTGAGTCCTGCGCCTTCCAGGGGGCTGAGTCCCATCACAGGGGAGAGGGATGAGGGGGGCCTGGTAATTACACGGGGGACGGCGAGGGGCTGCTTTCCCGACGCAGAATTCCACTCCCTCCCGACGACGCGGACAGAGCGTGCGAGGCAGGCCGAGCGCCGCCGCAGGAGGGTCGACACCTGTCGGGACACCTGCAGGTGCTCGAGGTGAGGCCTCATCTGCACCACGCTCACCTGTCATAAGCGGTGCCTGAAGAGACAGGGTGTAGTTTTATCTCGCCTGTAACTTACACTGTTTCATTTTCCCGTCACCTCGTCCCGTCACCTTGGGCCTTTCTGCCTCCTCCTTAACCCCCGAGCCCCCTTTTTTTATTTTCACTCCATTTTGCTCTGCCTTAACCACCGGGCCCCGGGCGCAGGGGCCTGAGCGGCAGGGCAGGGGGCTGAGGGCCGCGGGCGTCCTCCCGGGGTGTGCCGGGGGAAGCGCGGCGTGTCCCTCCGTGAGCCCAGGGGCCACGAGGTTAGTGGGGGGGGGGACATGCGGCCTTAGACTCGCTGTTGCTGCTCTTGGCAAACTCACTAAGTGGACGTGGTGGGCGAGAGCCAACGGCTCGCCTTTTCCTCCCGGCACCACGCGGCTGCTCCCGAGGTGATGACACTCCCAACACGAGCTGGGGGTCTGTGGTCCTGGCCCCGCAGGGGGCACGCGAGTGGGCGGGATCACCCCGACCTGACCCGCCGCTCTGGAGCCAGGGCGCCGGCAGCCCCAGCAGACAGACGAGGGCTCCTTCCCGGCGACACCCGCCCCTCCCCGCCCCCCGAGTCAGGACAAGGGTCCCACTCAGCCCGCCGCCCGCTCGGAAGGTACAAAAGATGGAGCCAGACAGGATTTACAAAAGTAACCTGTATTCTAGCCAAAATATCATTAAAAACAAACCCCTCCTCGAGGGGAGGCGGGCGACAGAGACACGGTCAGCTCGCGGGCGGGCCGGGACCGCGGCCCCAGCTGTCCGGAGGATCCAAAGTACGAACACGAGGCAAAGGCATCGCAGCGTCTCCACATCACAGTGGGGCGGCCAGGACAGCGCCCACCCACGAGCGTCGCTCTGGCGACCGCCGCGGGACCCCCTCCTGCAGAGGCCAGGGCACCGGGAGCAACAGCGACGGCGCGGCTCAGGCCCGCGGGCGCCGCGGGGTGGGGGCCCTGGAGTTTGGAAGACAGGACGGCAGGACTCCAGGGGGGCCGCGGGGGACACCGGAGCCTCGCGCTCTAGCGGGGGCAGGAGGGCGGCGGCCGCGGGGCCCCAGCACGGCCCGGTTCTTGGCACTGGAGGGCAACACCGGCCACCATCCCTCACTGTGCTGCTCCGCGGGGCTTGGCTCCACGTCGAGGACTCGGCCAGCGTCGGCGTCCTTCAAGGAGCCGCCAGGTGCCGCTTGCGAAGTCTGCCCTTGACCATCCACCGCGCCGAGGTGCGTCCGGGGATTGAGTCATACGCGAGAGTCTGAGACACATGAAAGGGCTGCCCACTTCCGTCCCACCTCACACGCCCCACGCCACCAGGGGGGTCGCTCTGGTCCCGTCGATGACTCAAACTGTGTGACCTCAGCGGGAAAGGGAACGTCGCCTGGATGGATCTCTCTCGCAGACCCGGCAGCCCCCCTCGGGCCTCACTCTGGTCAGGGAGGCCCCGAGCAGGCGCGTGAAGAGGATGCCCCTCCCCGTGGCTGGTGCTGGTGCCTGCAGCTTCCTGCGGGTGGAGGAAGAGCTGACGGGGCAGCAGTCCACGCACCCTCGGGTGTTCTGGCAGCCCTTATTCTAGGTGGGTCTCTGTGACGGGGCTGTCCACTGGGCCCTGTGCTGCCACAGCTGACCCTGGGGAGCTCAGCTGACCCCGGGGAGCTCGGCTGCTGAGCTGCAGGAACATCGGGGCAGCCGTGTCCTCCGCAGTCACCCCAGAGGGACAGCACAGAGCTGACTGTGGCGATCTCTCGGGCCCCTTCCCCCCTCCCCAGAGTCTAAAGGCCTCTCTAAGCCCAGGAGTACCTGTGCCCGCAGGGGGTCTGCACAGAGCCGTCAGCAAGTCCCTGCTCAGGACAGAGACCCCCCAGGTTTTGCTGGTTCACACAGAACCAGTGTTTCCCACGTGCTGCTCGCTCATCACACCGGCTGGTGAATGCTGCACCCCGTGAGCAACGGGGAACGCTCGGGCTGAAGGGGGCCTGCTGGAGGCTCCCCAGCTACGGCAGCTCCCCATGTGCTCCTGCTGCTATTGTTGCACAGAAAGGACAGTGTCGGCCTCGTTAATTATGAAGTCAAGTGCAGCACACCAAGGCGTGCCTGATGCGGAGGGTCGGGGCGTATGGGCGCTATGGGCCCTGGCGGCCCTGACCTCCTGTCCCCGCCAGACCAGAGCCTGGGAGGGAAGGCACAGAAGTCAGGGCCCTGAGGAACGTGGCTGAGGCGCCTTCCTCCCTAAGGGCCTCACCCACCAGGAAAGCAGCTGCGCCCCAGCCTGGGCCCAGGCCTTGGGGAAGGGCTGGCCCCATCCGAGCCTGAGGCAGGGGCCCTACTACGTGCTACTCACGTCAAGTGCAGTGGACAACAGGCAGCTGCCAGTACAGGTTGGGGTATAGAAGGCCTGCGGGGGAGGGGGGTCACTGGAGACAGAACCGCCTCTTCAAGCCTCGTGCAAGGCCTATCACCGTGTCCACACCCAGGCTGACCACAGGGGCAGCCCCGGCTTGTCCTGGGACCCAGGGAGTCATCGCCCCTCCAGAAAAGGCACGGACCAGTAGTCCCTGTGGTCACCCCTCCAGCTACGAGACTTACAGCCCCAGCTCATCCGAGCAGATGGCCGCAGGAATGTCCTCTCAGTGCCTCAATTCTAAAGGGCAGCTACAAGACTATTCAACAGGACTGTGACACAGACCGACTTCCCACACGGTTTCACAAGGAAAATAAATAGGAGGGCGGGAGAGTGAGCCGCTCCTGCTCCCCTCACGCACTAATGCTCAGAGCGAAGGGGACAGGCCTCTAGACCCGAGCCCCAGACACAGAATCTCCACACCCTCCCGCGAGGAGTGCGGCCATACAAGCTGGGTCTCGTCCTGGGCGCCCCTTTGTGGAAGGCTCACCAGTGTCCCAAGGCCCCCGCTAATGCTAATGCCCCCCACGCGCCTTCTCGTCGTCTGTAGTTTGATGCAACCACTTTGGTCTCTAAAAGCACGTGCGGCTTTAAACGCCATAGGAAGATCAGCTCCCCTAAGGACCGCGCTTCCCACTCTGCGAAGTTAGTGGAGTGACGTGTCTTATTGAACCCCTGCTTCCTGCAGCCACAGGACGGTCACTCACAGTCTGGAAAAGCCCCTAGAGGTGAAATCCCTCATCAAAATAACAGTGAGGTGAGAAGGTCGGCAGCGGGGTGGTGGGCCGTGCAGGACAGAAGTGGCTCCTCCATCACTCAAGCAACTGTGAACACACAGGCCTCTCCCCGCCCTGCCGAGAGGTCCTGCTCTGAGGGTCAGCCCTGCGGTTCCCGACTCTCATCCACGGGGGGACGAGGCCTGCGGCCAAACCCGACTGCTAGTTGAACCACTTCCCAGTAAAACACTTGGCTCCTGAAGACATGAGACAATGTTTGCTGCACCCTGGGTGTGAGGTCGGCCCCGAGCGAGAAAAACCACAAAGCAGACCTGGTGACGCAGCTGCCCATTAGCCGGGTTCTCAAGGACAAGCAGCGACGCAGGAACCACGCTTATGACAGGACCCGGCCGACGGCGCTCAACAAGCCGCCGGCACAGGTGCCAAGGGAAACGCAGAGAACATAAGGCTTTCTCCGTCTCCTGCAGTGCGGCCAGGTCAGAGTCATTTAACAGTAACTTCTCAAAATGCACATTGCAAGAAAGGCATAGGATGGTTTAGATGCACCTTGCTGATCTCACTACTCGGCTGGGGAAAAGCCTTCTAGAAAGGAGTCCTACATGCCATCGGTAGTAACACAGCTGTCGCGAGCAGATGCTGGCCTCCAGTCACCAGTGAGGTGCTGTCTGCAGAGGGCGGCCACCTCCAGGACTCCTCAGCCCCAAGCTCCATCCCGACGCGGAGAGGGGCCCCCTGCAGAGAAGCCCAGAGCCCCAGACCCCGCGTGGCCACAGGAGAACACGGCCCGCGAGCAGCCGGCTCCCCCCAAGCGCAGCGGCGGCTGCAGGGACGGGCGGCCTGGCCTTCCCAGCCCGGCGCTACCTGGGCTGCGGCAAGCGCTCTGACGTCAGTCCCTGAAATCGCGGCGTCAGGCGTGACGCGGTGAAGCTCAATGGGGCACGTAAGGCAAGAGAGATGTTGGGTGGGGGCGGGGCGGACCTCGCTCCCGGGGGCAGTCCTGTTGGCCGACCGCCTCGGCCTAGGTGGGCAGCGGGTCGTCGTCTCCCTTACTGCACTTGCACTTGCAGCAGAGCACGAAGGGGGTGGCCAGGAGCAGGAAAGGGGAGGCCACCAAGAGCAGGAGCCCAAATCCGGCGAAAATGCCCACGACCTGCAGGAAGGAGACACGGGAGCCGGGGTCAGGGGCGGGCCTGTGGGTCCCACGGCGGTGGGGGGTGACCCGCCAGGCCCTCGCCAGCCACTGCCCCCCAGCCCTCCTCATCTCTGCTCACGCTCCCCCTCCCGCCCCCCGTTGCGTAAGCAGCCCAGGCCGGCAGCGTCATTGCTGATTCGGGCAGACGGAAAGAGAATCTGGGGCCTTGGCTGTATCAGGCCTTTGATGCTGAAGCTCGGAACCAGGCACAGGCGGACCAGCAGGCGGCGGGGAGCAGCAGCTGAGCCCGAAAATCTCCCCTTTAATCCCTGGCTTTGCTTTTTGGCCCAGGTGTCCATATTTACATATGCAAACACCGTGTATGTGCATGCGTAGGTGCGTGCGTGCATGCATGTGTGTGCACGTGTATGTGTGCGCGCGTGTATGTGTGTGTGTGTGTTTTCTCAGCCCAGGTGTCTGCAGTTACAGGTGTGCGTGCCTGTGCTACTCTCCCAAGCGCCCGCCACCACACGCCATTGTGTGCGGGCAGTGGAGCCTAGGAGGAGAGCTGGGCCACAGGTGGCCGCTGCAGAGGCTGGGGCGGGAGGCCGGGCCGCTGGGGCGGGAGGCTGGGCCACAGGGGCTGGGGCGGGAGGCCAGGCTGCTGGGGCAGGAGGCCAGGCCGCAGGGGCTGGGGCGGGAGGCCGAGCGAGCCTGGGCTGTGTTCCTCCACTCCCCGTCCCCTTTCCTCCCTTTAAAAACTCCGTCCCTCTCCCTCCTGCAGCCCCAGCCTTCCTCCGAGCACACACCCAGCTCGCCGCCAGGCCCCGAGCCGGACGCTGCCCAGCTGCCACGGACCCGGAAGACCTCGGCCCTCGAGGAGCCCCGTCTCAGCAGGCAGCAGCGCCGTCTGCAGACCCCTCTGCCGGCTTCCAGGCGTTACGGGGGCCGGGGAGGGGCCCGCGAGGAGGAGGGCTCCCGGGGACGTGGGGTGGTGAGGCCCGAGGCCGGGGAGGCGAGGCTGGGCGCGCTGCGCCCGGGAGGGACACGCCCGAGTCATCCCCGGGGATTCAACCCCAACAGTGACCGCCGCACGCTTGGACTTTGCTCAAGCCGCCGCCGCCGCCGGAGGGAACGCGCCTCAAACGCACACGTTACCATGAAAATCCAGGCGGGAGAGGGGTCCAAGAAGCCCGAAGTTCAGTTCCTCCTGGGCTGGCGGCCCCCATCCCGGCTTCAGCCCCTGCGGCCCCGACCCCAGCACAAGCCTGGCGCTGGGCCGGCGCCTCGCGTGGGAGCGGGAAAAGCGCGCTGGGCGCGGCTCTAACCTGACAGGCGCTGCCACCCTCGGGGCCTGTTTCTCGGCTCTGAAGGGAGCCGGGTAAGGGTCTGTCAGGGCCACTGTGGGCTTGGAAAGAGGGCAGCGCGCCTGGGGGCAACAGAAAACAGCTGCTGGGCTCTGCCCCCGCCTCTGACTCTGCTCCGGAGACTGGCGGCTCCTGGGGGGCCTGGAGGGCCGTTTGTTCTCAGGAGGCGACTCTGGGTGGGATCCTGTCATTCTCTTGAGAAGGGAGGAGGGAGGGCAATGGAGCGGATGCGGGGCCTGGGGGCGCAGGCCCGGGGTGGCCTCTGACGCTGTGCCTCGCCCTGGCTTGCGCCGGGGCCCTACCTGGCTTTCCCACCGGCCTGCTGGCTGCCCCACACCTGCACCTGCCCCACACGTTCTCCGCTGCCCCCCCAGACCCAAGCGTCAGGTGCCCCCCCTACCTGCGTCCGGTGCCAGATGACAGAGGCCCTGGAGTGGCCCAGCTTGTTCCGGCAGGGCCCCTTGTCGTAGTGGATCAGGAGGAAGTCGTCCTGGGGAGGGAGCAGAGAGTGGGCTCCCGGGCTGCTCCCCGCGCAGGGCTGAGCTCTGCCAGGGTCTCCCCCACGCCCCGGGCAGGGGACAGGCGGGGGCAGGTCCAGCATGGCTGGTGCCTGACCTCTGCCTGCCTGGACAGCTGCAGGGAGGACTCGGGCACTAGGGGGCGTCTGGTCCCTCGCTTGGGAGCCTCTGGCTCCGGCTCAGGAGGAAAGACCATCTTGGAAGAGGTGGGGCTTCAGAACCAGGAGCTGGGAGGCCCTCCTGTACCCTGAGGGGATACTCCTGGACGCCAGAGTCCCCTTTATCTCTGGTCCATCCTCCTCCGGGAGCGTCTGGCTGCTCGGCTGGGAGGTGCCCCTCAGTGCAGACCTTTAAACGCCCCCTGACGTGGGAGGGGGCTGGGGACTACCCTCCTATGCAACTTCCCAGCCCACTGACCTGAGGGGCGCCCCCCAGCCCGCAGGGAACGCTGCCCTTCGCCTGGGGGTCCCATGACCCCTGACCACCTCCCTGTGTGAGCTTCCTGGTCTCAAGACGTCCAGGGGAGCCCCTACACCCCAGTCTCCCATGCACCAGATGAGCCTGTGGGCTTTTTCCACAAACTTCTGGGCCCCTGAACAGGAGGCAGCTTTTCTGTTCCCTAGAAAGCGTCAAGGCAGCCACAGGCATGGGGGGGCCGTCGGTCGAGGCCGCCCGCATTCTGCCCCAACTGGCGAAATGCCACCCCAAGGAGGGCCCTTGCTTGGCCACCAGCAGGCCCAGGGGCATCAGCATCAGCCAAGCTCACACCCCACCCGGATGCTGGCGCATTTTCAGAACCTGCAGAGGCCGAGCAGGTCTGACCTGGTCTGGCAGCAAGATGCCCACACCCCCCCCCCCACCCTGCAGAGGCCAGTCGCCCAATCCGTGCCCTGGGCCCAGGTCCCTTTAGGAACAGAGACCACACTCTGAGGGCCTCCTCCAGGCCGCCCCGCTCAGAGCGGGTCATCGGGTCCTCCTCGCCGGAATCATCCACGCCTCCGGTCAGCGGGCGACTACTGACATCGTCCACAGGGATTTGCTCTGACCCCCTTTTCACTGGACCCCGGGGCAGCGCTGCTGTGGGGTAAGGGGGGCTGGCGCAGCCCCCAGTGTGGACAGGACGGAAGACATGCACGCACCCCCGTGTGACTTGATGCTCGGCGATGTGAAGTGACAACCAGCTCTGCTAGTTCAGGGTGCTGTCAGACCATCCCATGAGCTCTTGTAAAACCAGTCACCAGGGCGTCACCGGACGCCCACCGGGCAGGGGCCGCAAAGCAGCCTCGCTTTCACCAGACCTCCCAGCTCTAGAGGAAGCCGGGAGTGGGGGGCGGCCTTGGCACGAGAAGGGAGAGGCAGGCCGGGCACCGCCTGCAGGTACGCGCTGGAGAAGCGTCCACCCCTGCTGACTCGGAGGGCAGGCTCCTCTGGCCGCCGAACCGCTGCCTGGCAGTGTCCGCCTCTCGCGCACTCTCTCTTTCCCACCATGCTCCCGACTCTGCCTTGCCGGACACTCACCGCAGCAGCCCTCGCCCCGGGATCTGGAGGTGGGGCCTTTGGGAAGTAAGGAGGTGCAGGTGAGGCTGTGCAATGGGCCCCCGCGATGGGATGGGAGCTTGGAAGAGGAGGAGGAAGCCCGTGCTCCCTCTCTCCATCCTGCCAGGGCACAGCGGGAGGAGGGTCCTCCCCAGAACCCCAACACAGCGGCACCCTGTCTCGGATGGCCTCCAGGGCCGAGAGAAACTGGGGCCCATCCCAGCACCCCGTGCACGGCTCTCCAGGCCGAGCCGACAAGCCAAAACCCCCATCCCTCTAGCCTCCAGGAGGATCCAGGCCTGCGGGACCGTCCGGGCCAGACGCCTGCCTCGGCATAGTCCCGGGAACCACCCGCCCAGGCTGCCTGTGTCCCCGCGCCAGACACCGCTTCTGCGCACAGGGGCGTCCCCCGGCTCCGCAGGAAGCAGCGCCCACCCTCGGGGCGCGGCCTGGCGGGGGCCGCGGTACTCACGTCCAGGGACTCCAGGCAGTACCAGCAGAAGGCGTGCTTGCAGCTCTTGCACATCATCTGCGCGCAGCCCTCGTCCCGCTCGATGTAGACGCGGCACTGCGGGCAGCGCTTGATGGGCGCATCGTCGTCCTCTGGGGCGAAGGCGGAGCTGCGGGAGAGCGGAGGGGCGCAGGCGGGGTCGTCAGGAGGGGGCCGTGGGGGGCAGCAGAGTGGGGGGAGAAGCGTCAGGGCTGGGGGTGCCGTCAGGGCCGGTGGCTGGGGGCCTGGTTCTCAGGAAGCACAAGCTCAACTCAAGGGGCCCCGGGGCACTGGACACTACGTGAGGTCAAAGGGGCACAACGTGCCGTGACCACCCCAGAAGGCCTTTCTCACGCTGGGGGGGTGGGGGCAGCGTCAGCAGGAATCTAAACTTAGTGATGTCCAGACACCCTGGAGGAAATGCGGCTGAAGGCTTAGAGCGGAGACGCGAGTGGGATCAGGCCTGTGAGGTGCCTGTTCGGCCTCTGTCTGCTTTGCAAGGGGCGGAGCCCGTTCCATGCGCCTGGACATCATCAGAAGGAAACAAAAGTGCAGACACACGACCTCCAGTCCTCGGCTGGCGAGGCCGGGGGTGCAGAGCGCTGCCCCACAGCCAGCTGTGTGACCCGGACCGAGCTCGGGCTTCCCGTTGAGGGCAGGGCAGGGCTGTGGAAGGGCCGTGGAAGGGCGGCCGCGCTCCCTCCCACGCACGCTCTGCTGCCGTGGGGAAGCCACGCACACGCACACGCCTGCCGGGACGTGGAAGGGCCTCGTGCCATTCATTTTAAACAGACAGCTGGCGGGACGCACGAAGGGCTCTGGAGGGCACAGTCACCAGGTGGCAGGTGTTACTACACATGACGGCGGCTCCTGCCACGCTGCGCTAACTCACGGCGTCCACTCAACATCGACACGACGTCACCAGGGGAAACATGGCTCCCGCTGGGTGAGCTGCCTGTTGGGAACTCAGTGCACCGCTGAGTGCACGTCGGGGGAGGGCCCGATCCTGTTGTCCCGACCACAGCATGCTTGAGAGCGGGCGCAGCCTGGCTTGAGTAGCGCTACCGAAATAGCTGAGCCTAGGACCCAGCCAGAGGGCTCGCCCAAGCCCTGGCTCCCGCCCGGTGCAAATGCCCCAGCTGAACGTGGCTGTTCGGCTCAGCAGTAGCGCAGGCAGGTGCTGAAGGACGCAGCAGCCCAGTGGGGAGCTCAGGGACCCGACGTGCACAGACGCCCCTTGGGCGGGGCTACGTCATAGCAGTCCTCTCCTGCCTGCACAGCTGAGGCCCACAGTGTGCCCCTTGGGGGTGTTGTGAAGATCAAGAGTGAGGAGCAGTCCGTAAACGGCAGTTGTTATGGATAGCATCACTGGGAGAAATGAAACCTTCTAGATCAACTTCTTTTACAATTTTAAGGCAAACTAACAGGCCAAACAGATGTGATTTAGAACAAAGCAGGTCCAGGTCGCCGCAAGGGGCAAACGAGTAAGGGGCGTGGACGGACGTGCCTCCAACTACCTCTGCACACTTGTGGCTGCGACTCCTGCTAGAGTGATGTGAGCTCTGCAGAGCCAGGAGTCACGCGGTATGCAGGCCGGGGAGCGCCCGCAGCAGGACGACAGAGCTTTGGTTCTGCTCTTGGGACACACAGAGAAATGGGCACGGCAGGGACCGTGGTTTTCAGACATTTTCTAGCGCAAAGTATAGTTCAAATTATTAGTAATAACATCTTTTACTCTGAACTCACATTTAGGAAGGCAGAATGGAGACTGACCATTTCATCACACGCTACATGTTCTCATGTCTTTACGGGGAAAACACGTAACGTGAGTGAAGCCGGTCAGGTGGCGAGTGGGAACACGGGCTAAGGGAAGGTCTGACTTTAAACAGGACAACTCTACTGTGTGAGACCAGCTACCTGGGCTTGCAGTGGCAAGGACACCTGACCATCAGCCTCAGAAGCAGGAGGCAAGAGGGAGTGGTGAGGACTGTGGACGAGCCACAGCTGATGCAAACCCCGTCTAGGGAGCCGGTACATGCTCAGCTCCAGATGACGGTCAGCAAGCGGGTATGTTTGCCCAGATCAGCCAGAAATTCAGACTTTTATGTGAGATCTTGATTTTTACATTTCCACAAAATGAGATTTGTACATTTTGATTTTAATCGGCCTTGTTTCACTTTTGAAGTTGCACATGTGTTTTGTTTTGGTTTCTGTTCTTGGTGATGTCTGCGGGGGGTGGAGGGATTTCACGCACACAGATGCTGTGGAGCCACAACCACCCTGAGCAGGAACTAAAGGAGGCAGAACCTCAGGATGGGAGGGTGGGAGTCCTCGGGCTGCAGCATGCACGCTCCTCCACCTCGGGTCCCTCTTCTGCCGAGTCCCGCCTCCACATCACCCAGACTGCACTGCGCTCTCGGGACTGGTTGTCTTGCTTCTCCGAATGTGGGAACCCACTCACCCGCTCACTAGGGGTGGAGGGCCCTCCTTTAAGCAGATCGCCTGGTTGCTTCCTGAGGCTGAGGCCCTAACTCGCCTGTAGGGTAAGTGAAAATTATCAGGCTTTTCTGCCCTCCTGCCATTAGTGTTAATGATGGATCCCTGCGGTCCTACACGCACGCCTGATGGCGGCACCTGGAACAGGGTGTGGGCATACCTGTGTAGGTGGGTGCACCTGGGCTGAGACGGGACTTATAAGGGCAGAGTCACAGGGACGCCAGCAGAACGAGAGTAAGAGGGCAGCAAAGGAGAAGCAGAGACCACGAGAAAACGCCAGAGAGCCCAGGAAGAGTGAAGACTCACCGGCCCCCCCAGTCCCCCTGCCTTGTCAAAAGCCCAATAAAAGCCTGAAAAACCACCGAGGGCTCCAGGACTCTCCTTTACCCGCCTGCCCGGATCATGGAGACCCTGCTCTGTGCCCTCCTCGCACTGCAGCCTCCTGCACACGTCCTCCCCAGGCTGAGAACCCAGCTCTGGTAACCACACAGGCTCACAGCCTGGGTAACGCTAACTGGCGCCTCCTCGTGTCTGAGCGCGAGCTGTGGACGAGGTATGGATGAGGAGGGTCCAGCGAGCGCAGACCAGGCTGCCGCGGGCTCTGACACACGCTATGTGGCTGGTGTTGCAGCACCAGGGCCAGGGCCCAGGGCGGGGAGGGTAGTGGGAGGCCGGGGTGGGAGGCGGAGGCCATTCTCCCCCAGACTGTTTATTGGGCACACGCGCTTCCTGAGCCTGGCCCGGCGCCAGCAGAGAATCCGCTCTCCAGCAATAAGAACCAACCAACCAGACGACCCAGGTGTGACCGGGAGGGGCCCAGCCAGGAGCTGGTGCATCCCCAAGGGTACATTTAGGGGAAAGGCCAGGTCCCCCCGCCCTCAGCCCTGCCTTCTGCACGGACGCGAGGTACCTGCTCTCTCCAGGGAGGAAGGTGATGGGCATGGTCTCAGGGCAGCCCTGGCCGGGGTGCCAGCTGGCTTTGCAGGCAGAGCAGAACTCCGTGTCGCAGGCCTTGCACTGCACCAGCTGGGGGGTCTGCGGCCCCAGCTCCTGCAGCTGGCACACGGCCTGGCAGGCGGACGCTGGGCACCACGTCCGACAGGGGTCCAGCAGCACCTCTAGACCGGGAGAGAAAAGGGGCATCAGCTCCAGGGAACGCACCTGGGGCACCCACTCTTATTTTCAAAGGTGAGGGGAAGGTCACGTCCCAACACAGCCAGGCGCCAGGCGTAACAGGCCCTGTGTCCTGCAGGGACGCTGCTGCTCGTCCAGATGACCCGGCAGGCCCTGGAGGCCAGCGAGCACCAGCCATCTGGGTCACCTGAGCACCTGCATCCATGGCCCTCCCTTCCCCCACAGCCCCCAGGACGCAGCTTTCCCTGTCAGGTCAGTGAGGGGGGCGCAGGCCCTGGAGCGCTTGCTGCAAGATGGGAATAAAGGGAAGAGGGAGGGGAGACGGCCAGGTCATCCCATGCCGGGCTCACCTGCCGGCCACGGCCACCCCCGGCTGGGCCCGAGGCGCTCTGCAGCCCCTGTGCAAGCCAACACTTAACAGCCAGCGCGTCCTTGAACCCGGCCTGGGGCTGAGCAACTAAGCCAGTTTTAGCGGCACAGGAAGGAAACTGGTCTGGAAAAGCAGGTTCCCGCGGCCCCTGCCTTCACGCCCCGGCTCAAGTCTGGCCATCCTTGAGACCACCAGTCCCGAGCGGCCGTTCCTCGTGAGGCTGGGGTTGGACCCGTTTACCCTCTGTCCAAGGTGACCAGGGATTCTCAATGAGGGGGCAGTGGGCGGCAGCACAGGACCGGAAACCACAGGATGTGGCCGGGCTGCCAAAGGCCAACGGGCCGTCTCCAAAGGCCTACAAGGAGGCCGCAGCATCCTGGCTTCTCGGTGCTGTTCCTGGGGAGACGCTGAGACACTGGAGTTCGCCGGGGAGATGTGGAAAGCCTTGAAAGGTGCTAGAAGCTTCTAGGCCGTGTGACGGACTCACGCCACAGGGTCATTTCACTCCCATCACAAAAGCAGTTTGTACTCGCTGGGGGCTGGACATGGTCCTACGTACCCCCCAAATGGGCTCCACGGGACGTGCCAGTCAGCTTGTCCCGATCAAATGGGGGAGCCGACCGAGGCCTCTGGGAACAAGCTCGTATCAGACAGAACCTGAAAACCGTCACCCCGCCTAACGCGGTGCGGGAGGGCCTGTCCCTAAAGGGGCAGACAGGGTAGTTCAGTATTTGGAGGCCCTGCAGCCGCTGTCCCAACTGCCCAGGTCTGCTGCTGCAGCGCCAAAGCTGCTGTTGTCGAGCCATAGTGATGTTCCAATAAAACTTTATTTATAAAATAACACGGCCCCAGACTGGCCTAGACTGGCCCATTGGCCAACATTGACCAACTTTGATCTAACACCCCCATTTTTTTTTAATGTGAATTAATGGCACAAAATATCAAATCAGTAGATCTGGTGGAAGATTTAGAGAACTTGGTGCCATGAAGGAACCTTGGAATTTGAATGTAATTTGCACCATGCTTCACCATTTGAATGGGAAACCCTCACACAGCGCCAGCAGGAGAGAGGCACGTCGGCGCCCGTCACTCCCTGGTGTGCCAGTTTGCTTTTCTAAAAAACTGTCTGGCTGCCAGATCCAGGGGGCTCTGTGGGAAGGGGCAACGGCCGGCCCAGGTACATGTGGGGGGCACTGCCCCAGGCCTGGGCTTGGGGATCGGATGAAAAGAGGGGACCCTCCTGTGGATCCAGGAAGACCTAGCATAGCAGGAAATGCCCAAGGTGTGCACCCCGGGAACCCTGCCGTGCGTCCTCCTGGCAGCCTCCCTCACCCGACTCTCTTCATGGAGTCTTCTCCACACACTCCTGCCTCTGGGCCAGCGCAAGCCGTGGCAGACCCCAGCGTGGCCCTGGCTGCAGCCAGAGGAGGTTCACCTTGCTGTGACCTTCTGTGTGACGCCGTGTCCCCACCTGATGTCCATGCTGCCCTGTTCAGACCTTTGCTCTGGGGAGCCTGTGACGTAGGCCAGGCAAGGCTGGCCGCACTAGCCCAGGCACCCCACATGCCCCGGCCAGGTCATCTCCCCTCATTTTTGCACAACCAGTGTAACTCCGCAAGGGAGTGCAGGCAGGAAGGGGGTGCACCGGGCGGCAGGCGGTCCAGGAGAGCTGGACCTGGAAGTGGACAGTGCAGCATGTCATGCTAAAGCCCAGGGTGCTTGCCCCCCCCAGGCCTATCCCCACCCCAGTCTTTAGAGGAGCCGTGTGGGAACAAATGCCAGGAAGGAAAGCCCCCCTTCTGACAAAGCCGGATACTAATAAAAACTAGAGGACAGTGGTAACCAGAGAGGCTTCCAGAGGCCGGGGGTGGGGGAGAAGCCAGAGGGAGGAGGGAGGGACAGTCATGGGGTGATGGTGAAGAAACAAAGAGCCTGCAGCTTGCGTGCCTGCTCCCGGCCGGCCCAACACGCCGGAGGGCGGGGACGTGTCCACGGGTCAGCTGGCACCACAGCGAGGCAGCCCACGTGCTCGTGACTTCCACGGACCCTGGGCCTTTGTGGTCAGGAGTCGGTTCAGGAAACCATGGAAGGGGGTTCTTCCAGAGCATTCTTCTTGAGTACATTTCCAAGGACTAGGCCAAGTCAAAACCTGCTCTGATCCTATCTCCACGCTGGCTCCACGTCCTGGCTCGAAAGCCTGGCTCGTCGCCCTAAGGTCTCACTCCACAGGCCCCTGCTGGTATGAGTCTGAGTCCTCTCTTTTTATAGTTTTCAGCATAATGTTAGCAAAATGTCTTAAAGTGACAGATTTGAGAGCTTTTCTTTTAACCTAAGTCAAGTTGGCCTCATTTTCATGCAAAAGGAGAAAAGTGCCTCTGATGCTAGCAGCGGAGAAACTATTAGGTGGGAACATTTACCCAGCTGCATTTTCAAATTCAATGTCATAGAAAGTTCATTTTCTTGTAACCCAAATAATTGCTGTTTCTATCAAAATCCTCCTGGAAAATGTCTTCCAAAGAACCTGAAAGTCTCAGAAACACAAGCTGACCCAGGTCACAGCACCGATAGCAACACTTCTACCACGGGGCGTTACAGTTAGTCTAGAAACTGCTCCAAACCATGATTCAAGCCATTTAAGTGAAAAGTTCTGGAAAACAGATTTTACTGCCATCAAAAATCCTGGTTGATTTTTCAAATTGGCTGCATATTGCCATTTTTTTGAGAAGCCAGTCTCAGAGGAAATACAACTATCTTTAGCATTTTTTAAAAAAATAAACAAAACAGAACCCAGCAAGAGCCTGTCCCCATTCAGCTGAACGAGCAGCCTCCTGGACTCCCTCGCTCTGCGCCGCCCTCTGTCCTTAGCTGGGCGGCTCTGCGGTCAGCGCGTGACCAGGGCCGCCTCCGTACCGGCTGCTGACCTGGGCCCAGTGCCGGCCCAGGAAGCCTGGACCGCAGCAGAGACAAAGCAGGCAGAAGCCATGGAACTCGGACGCTGTCTCTTCACAACCGTTTTGCCAGAGGACCAGCCTCGTGGACACCCAAGCGGGGCGCCAGCCTGGGGGCTTGCAAGGCCCGACACTGAGTGGGAGACCAGGGAGAGTGTGCTGGGTCAGGTTCTAGGTCACGGCCACCGCAGGGATGCTGAGACTGAGATAAGACTCCATGCTCCACGGGCGCCCCTGGTGGCGCAGGCGATTGAGCGCAGCGCTGTGGAGCTGTCAGCAGCCTCTGCAGTGTGGGTTCCGTCCCAGCCAGCCAGCGAGGGTCCCACACAGCGCAGCAGACCTCTCCTGCCTTGCCCGCTGCTCCTCTCAGCAGTGTACTTCGTCAGTCTGCCTGTTCTGTTCCCCACTCTGGCTCTGGTGAATCCTCCCACCCTCCCGCACATCTGGCCTGTACCCCAGATCTTGTGTAAATAAATAAATCTTAAAAAAAAAAAAAAGACTCCATGCTCCACGGGCACCCCTGGACTAACCCGCCTGGGGGGTGGGCATGCAGAGACACCTGGGCTACAGGCTGATACGGCCACCGGTGACCAGTTCGTGCTGAGCCCCGCTGCTCCTGCATCAGAAATTCAGCACAGCCCAAGAGCTTAGTCCCCTTCTCTCTTAACTGGCTGAAGAATAGGCCCCTGTGAAGGTCTGTCCCACGAAACCACCCCTTAAACCCAAATCCCTCCACGCAAATTGTGTTTCCCGAATCCTTCCTGCTACAATCAGATGCACAACCAAAGCTCGGACATGCGCTCCTAGGTGTGAGCTCCTGGGCATGAGCAACTCGAGGGTCCAGCCTGCCCGCAGGGAATCACAAGTCCAGTCACATCACTTATTTGCCCCGAGTGTAGCCGAGTGATGTAGAGTCGTGCCCACCAAAATCGCTCCCCCAGAGGAATCAGAAGGGGTGACAGACCAAGGCACCTACCTCTTTCAAACTGCAGCTTTTTGTATCTTTGCATGATTTCAGCCGCAACCATGCACTCGATCTAGGGGGCAAGAGGGAGCGGGCAACAGGAGCTGAGGCCACAGACTGGGCGGAGCCCCCAGCCCCCCCCCACGCGGAAGGCACGGCCCGGCCCAAGCAGAGGCCCCGGCACCTGCCTCGCGCTCCTGCAGGCGGCCCTGCTTCGGGCAGGCGGCATCCGGACAGCTGATGGCAGTCTCCAGCCCCTCCTTGATCAAGAGCTCGACGTACTGTTTCAGGCACTGCAAGAAGACAGAGAAGCGCTGTGAAATCTCGACTTCCTCACGGCCGAGGCAGAAGAGATGCGTTCAAACAAGGTCAGCGTGCACACGCCGCTCCGTCGCGGGTTTGTATTGTCCCCGGGTAGCCCATAGCAACCGCCAAATTAATGGTTTCATTCACCCAACACATACTTCTGGGGCAGTTCTTCCGCCCGGACTCGGGCCGGTTCACCGAGCGGGGTCTGCGGACAGTCCCGGCCACAGCCTCGGAAACACGGCCAGAGGTCCAGCAGCACCCCCCGAGTGCACACGGCACGCCGGGCGGTGAGTCACGGTCAGGAGCTCCGACTAACGCTGCCGTCCAACATCGCTCGTCGTGTTGTGATGGCAGAAGAGAGGCCGGTGGACAATGGTGAAAGGACACGGCCGAGGCGCTCGCCCCCTTCTGCGGTTTCACTTAAAGCCACAGCTGCCGAGACAGCCTGAGCCCCAAGACCATCCTCACCAACAGGCGTGACAGTCACCTCGGTGTGAAACCTGAGTCGCCAACGGACTTGTCAGCTAACCCACAGCAGCCTCCTGGCCTTGAACCCAAACCCACAGGACGCCTGCATCCAGCTGGACGTCCACGTCCAGGCACACTCCCCCCACGTGACTGGCAGGGCCTGGCCGCTCGGGAGGCCCGAAGATGCTGGTCACAGAAGCCGCGTGGCAGCACGGGCAGCCTCGCATCAAAGCAGTGAGGCCGTCACAGCGCCCAGGCCTCCCCCCAAGACGTCCTCTGTTAGATGCCAGTGCGCCCTGAAAAACACACCGTAAACAAGCAGAAGACACGGCTCCCCGGAGTGCGCTGCTAACGTGGCCGAGGCAGGACTGTGAAGAGTTCACATGAGAACAAAAAGCACACGAAGCACCGGGGCCAGAGAGAAGACGCAGAGACAATCTCTCAGCAGCGCCCCCAGGCGGGAAGCCCAGCCCGGCGGGTGGTCTGGGTTCCAAACAGCCACACTTCGTAGTGTTGAAATAACCCCGCTGAAGAGTCTATTAGCAATCCATTGAGAGAAGCGCAAAGCTACACCCTATAAGTCTCTACTGCGCCCTAAGATGTATGATGGATTCTGTCCTATGCAAGCAGGGTCTCGGGCCTCCCTGGTGGCGCAGGGGCCACGCACAGCACTGTGAAGCTGTCCCCAGTCTCTGCAACGCGAGTTCAATCCCCAGCCAGGGAGCTACCCACAGGGCGCAGCAGACCTCTCCTGTCTCCCCGCTGCTCCCCTCAGCAGTGGGTTTCAGTTGATCCGCCTGTTCTGCTCTACACTCTGTCTCTGGTGAGTCCTCTCACCCCCACACCTCTGGCCTGTACCCCAGTTTTTGTATGCATAAATAAATAAATCTTTAAAAAAAAAAAAGCAAGACAGCAGGGTCTCCATTGGGGGAGGGGCTCCCGCGGTGGCCCCCGCAGTTCTGCCGGTCCTGGCACCATCTGCTCCTCTCCCCACTCGCCCCGTTTTCACGGCCTGTCATGTGGGATGGCCTGAGCGCCTGTCATGGGGTGGTGGGAATCTCATGCACGAGAACCGTCCAGCAAAGGCCAGTGGCATTGCTCAACATATACATGATGAGTTGATATAAATGACGATTCTCACAGTTCTAGCAAGTGAGAAGGTTCATTCACTGAAGACTCAAAAATAATCACTTTAAAAAAACAGAAATCGAGGTCATCCTGTTCCTGGAAAGGGGCGTCCTCTCTACATAGGAGGGGGAGTGGTAAGAGCCACAGAATGTACCAGGCATTTCCTTTTCCATTTTGCCTTCCAGCTCCTTGAAACCTTGGCCCACAGACAACGCGCCAGCCCCGCCGAGCTGCGAGCAGTCCCTGCCAAGGAAACACGGGCCCGAGACCTCGCTGCTCGCCCCAAAGCCCCGTCTGCGCACGGCCTGCCTCCTCACTTGGAGGTCCGCTGACGGCTGCTGACCCAACAAGTAGGGCAAGTGCCCAGAAGCTGTGGCCACGGCGCCTGAGCCGCCCTGTCCTCTTCAGACACCCGCCGTGACTGGCACCAGCGTGGCCGACAGCCTGGGGCAGGGTCCAGAGCCAGGCCGCCCACCACAGCGGGGCTGAGCCCCAGCCGACTCCCTGCGGTCGCAGCCCCGTGCCCGTGGGCCTCTGCTCCCCTCCACGAGGTAAGGTGAGGGACAGCAACCCGCCCCGGCCCGGGTGCCGATGAACGCACTCACACGTGCTCTGTCCTGCCCTGGCCCACAGTCGTCCACAGTTGTGACCCCGGCGCAGGCCCCTCCGTCGGGCGAGGCCTCGACAGCAAGACCCGCTGTGTCTCCGCTCCCAGTGCTGGGCGTGCCCCCCGGGAGGGGCTCCCAGGAGCTGGTGACAGGCAGACGGTACAGACGGACAACGAGAGGGTGCAGAGGGGCAGACCCGTGGCTCGCCGTGCCCTCCTCTGTCCTGGGGACACCCTGTGGCTGCCAGGCCGGGCCCCGTGCTGTCCGGCTGCGAGCCGCCGAGACCGGGGCCTGCCAAGGCCCTTGCTATGCGTGTCGACGGCCCTGCCCACTGTGGACTGGAAAGTCCCCCCATTCTGGGAGCAGAACACAAAAGCAGCTGGGTTTTTAATGGAAAGGAAAGAAAGTGGCTGTTTTCTTTTGTGAATGTTTGTTGTTGTTTGTGTATTTCTTGAATTCAGAGAAAAATGGGGAAATCAAGAAAAATGTAAGGGACGGTCTGAAAAAGGAGCGGGCGCCTTCCTTCCCGGGTCTGAGAGGTGGGATCTGCAGCACGAGTCAGGTCCCAGTGGGGCAGGCCCCGGCTCCTGCCCCCCGACCACCACGTCCTTATGAACCCAAGGTCTGTGGGGGCCCTGGGTTGAGTGGGCCACCCCAGCCCGGGCCGCGTGGCGTCCACGCCTGGACCTGCCTCTCAGACCCAGGCAGCCGCGCGGCTGGCAGGCGGCAGTGCAGAGAGCACCCCCCGCGCAGGCACGGGCAGGCCAAGCGCAGGCGCCGCTCCCCACCCCGCCACTGCTTCGGGTCCAGAACCCGCCACCCCCCGGAACCTACCACCAGTGCGAGCAGACCCTGCCCCAGACAAGCAAGAACGGACCCCCCAGACCTCCCTGCGCCCGCCACCAGCGAGAGCAGTGGGAACGAGGCGGAGGCCCCGTCCAGGTCTGCGCTGAGTCCGAGGCTGCCAGGGGAGCGGGAGGGCTGGGCTGCGCTCGCTGGGCCGCGGCGCCGCCACCTCAAGCTGAACTGCTGACTATGAAGCAAGGGGGACAAAACTTTGGGGGGGCAGGTGCGGCCCAAGCACAGAAGGTCAGCTGCGCGCCGGCCTCTAAGGTTCTGTTTAACTGACGCTTTTGCACCATCAGCGACTGGACGGAAACCTGCTCAGGGACTCCTCTGAGAACCGCATGGGAGTCTCGGCAGGGAGACCCCTCCGCTAGGGACGGGGCCCCCACGTGCAGGAGCCGGGCCTCCCCGAAAGACCCACCAGGGTGCAGAAGATGCACTGGCACTGGGCGATGGTCGTCATCTGCTCCACCGGGTACTCCCCCAGGCACAGCTTGCAGGAGACCAGCGGGTCCAGCGCCAGGTCCCAGGTGGGCCGGTACCGCGCCGTGGTCATGGCCGAGCAGTCTGAAACGAGAGAGCACAGCGTCAGAGCCCACGGCCCCGACACAGGCGCCTTCCGGGGTGTCCAGGCCCAGGGCGAGCACAGATGGGCAGGCCTCGGGGTCACACCTGGGTCCACTGAGGAGCCCTGGCCAGGGGCCTCTGACCTGGGGACAGGCCCGGCTGAGGGCCGACTTCCACGTCTCCCTCCCAGCAGCTACTTCCCACCCCCCTAGGCCCCTGTGGGCCCCGCCGTCCCCAGACTCGGCTGCACAGCATGGTGCAAAGTCAGGGCTCTCCTTCAACAGAAGGTTCCAGAGCCAGGACCCTGCCCCATGGCCAGGCCTCGGCAGGCAGCATCCTTGGATACCTCCTGCCTGGACCGTCCACTGTGGCTCACCCTGGCTTGTTGCCCTCCCATGTCAGCACCACCCCTCACCCCAACTCTCCTGCTCCCGATCCTGTCACAGCCGCTCCAAGGGCGGGCGTGACCCTCAGCACAGCGGCAGGGGCAGGACACACCCTCTCTTCCTGGACCTGGATTCCACAATGGGCTCTTCCTGGACCTCCCGCAATGGGCTCGGCCTGCGTGGCCCCTTCCGCAGCAGCTCAAGGCCAGCCTCCCGCACCAGGGCCCCTTCCCTCCAGAGCAGACTATGAGACGGCTCCTGGCGATGACCCCCATGGTGACAGCAAAGACACACACACGTCGGGGAGGCCGTCAGCGCTTCCCTGCACGCGGGGTGAGCTGGAGAGGATCTCGCAGACACAGAACAGCTGCAGACTTGAACTCGGCATCTGCCGCGACACGCAAAGCAGAGCCAGCCTTTGTTTTCCTGTTGAGCACGTCAAGTCATAGAGGGAACAACAAACTGGCAGAGGAACATCTGGTCAGCCACACGCACTATTCAACCCAAGCACCTCCCACGTCTGCAAGGCGGGTTGAGCGCCGCGGCCGGGGTCCTGCGGAGCCGTGGGCGGGCTGGGGGCGGCGGGCTGAGGAGGTGGGAAGGGCCGGCGGAGAAAACGGCGCTCGGAGGGAGACCTGCTGGCCAGGAGGCGAAATGTGCTCATTTGACCTGAAACATCTCAGCGTGGGCTCCAGCGCCGTGGGCGCCGCGGGGCCCTGACCTCCCTGCCTCCGCTGCTTCAAAAAAACCAGGGCCGGGAGCCACCTCCAAGCCACGTAAGACTTAGCGACGGGAGCGGCTGCTAGGATGCCCTTTGCACAATGGGGAAACCAAGGCGGGCAGACACGGGTGTCCTGCGGCCACGCCCAGCACTGGGGGCCGGTCTCCCTGACCCAGCAGGCGCAGACATGGCCTTGGAGCATTTCCTGCAGTGGTCAGGGCTTGGCCTCGAGCCGCATCCTGCGGGGCTCAGCCGGCAGGCACTCGCCCCCAGAAGCGCGTCTCTGGCCAGCAGCTGGGCCCCGGGACACTGGCCTCGCGGGGGCTCGCCCATTCACTTCTGAGGCCGACGCTGGCGCGACCTTTCCCAGAGCTGAGGTCACACACTCCGCACGCAAGCTTCAAATATCTGGGGAGCTCCCACGGGCGGCCGGACAAGCCTCCCTTTCGGACCTCCGTCCAGGAATGACACGCAGAGGAAGACAGAGGCCCCATTGTTACTCCAGCTTCCCACATGAACAGGGCATGTGGGCTCCGGCCAGCGGCAAGTTTAAAATCAAAAGCAGTCACTGTGCTCAGGTGTGTTCAGGCTGCAGGGCCTGGCGGGTCCCTCGGAGGCGGGCCTTCCTCCTGGCCCCTCGATCGCCTTCATTTCCCAGACTCTGAGCCGATTCTGAGAAGCAAAACGATCTGCCCGGCCTCCCCCCAGGTAACGAGCGGCACCCGCAGGGCTCTGCACCGTCCATCCCCTGAGGCCTGCAGTCCAGGGTGCACCCCTCACTGCTGGGGGGTGCCCCTCCTCGGCCCCCTGCCGTCCACCCAGGTGAAGCGGCAAGTGCTGGAGTGACCGCTCGGCCTCCATGTGTGAGAGGCCACCGTGAGGCTGAGAACACACCTGAGTCGTCACGCGGGACGCTCGGACACTAACGCGGCATCGCCTTGGTGGTGGTGATGCGGGCCGGTGGCCGGCCAGGAGGCAGGGGCCAGGCCCAGCTTCCTGATCAACTCACACAGGCCCCGGGGCTACTGTGGCCCACGAGGGATCGAATGTCCTGGTGACCAGGAGCACGTGGGGACCTCTCGCGAGTCTCAGCTCTCCGGGAGGAAGGCCGGACAGGACCGAGAGCTCAGGTCAAAGGGCATGGCCAACACCAGGGGCAGGAAGGTCCATCCTTGCCCGACGTGCCGCCTGGTCCCAGCCCCACCCCCTGCTCCAACCCCACCGCTGAGAACACCCCAGGCCTCCAGTTTCCCTCTTGTCTGACCCTGCAGGAGACCCCACGGGAAGAGGAGTCCCCAGAGGACAGAGAGCAAGCGGGGCACGTGGGAGAGGGGCTCAGGGCTCTCTGCCTGGACCCCGCCCCAGCCCCTCCCCGCCCCCAGCCTCCAGCCGCAGCTAGAGCCCGAGCTCCAGCAAACAGAAAGGAAAAGCAGAGACTCACTCAGAATTAGCTCGGCCATGGCGGCGTCCCCCGGCGCCCCGGGCTAGGAGAGACCTTCCAGAGCCCGCCGAGCAGGCGACCGCAGCCCAGCTCCTCGGCCTCCTGAACACGAAGCTTTGTTCCAAGCCCACCCCGAGGGGATCGAGCGTAATCAAATAAACTGACGCAACCTTCCCTAAAGGGAACCAGGGACGCCAGCTTCAAATTATTCCCCAGAAAATGCCCGCTGTGGCTGGGGACAGCCTCTGGGGCGGAAGCCTCCTGCTGGAACACCCACACCAGTGCCCGGAAAGCCCGTTTACTCCAGGCCAGGGCGCGGCCTGGGCGCTCCCTCCCGCATGTCCTGAGCGTGGGGCTTGGGTCCTGGACACCAGGTGTGGGCGGGCTCACAAGTCCATTCCGGGGAAGGACAGAGCTGTGGACACCCAGTGGGCCCTCGACCTCTCAAGGACACCCGGCTCTGGCCGCTCGAGGCCCGCTGGCACAGCCACAGCGCCAGACGGCAGGCCTGCTCCGCCCAGTACGGTCCTCGTGCGGTCTCAGCAGCCGCGCATCCGGGCCAGCGAGCTTCCTGGAGCTTGTCACCAGACCATGCACGGGAGGCCCGCCGGGAGGCAGGCGGCAGACTCACGCTGCGAGCTGTTCCGGCGCCGCGAGCCCACGTTTTGTGTGTGCAGGTAGGAGCAGTGCGTCACGGACATCAAAGGTCGAATTATTTTGGACAGGAGAGCCTCCGGGGGTCCTAAGTTCATTGGACCTGAGGACATGCACACGTTTTCAGCGTGCAGAAGGCAGAGCTGGGGTGTCATCTCTTCCTAGGGGACACGCCGCAGAGCTGTGGCTGAGCCTGTTTAAGTCCCCACCCGGCATCTCAGGCACCAGTGTGGGGGAAGGACTGGCTGTGCCCACAGCAGCAGAGTTTGCACAGCTGGTCAGACTCCAGCCCTGGCAAGTGGCTCTGGTCCCGACCTGCCGGGGTGGGAGGGGGCTCCGGAACTCTCCGAAGCAAGGAGCTCCCACAGGCTGGAGCCTGCAGTCAAAGGCACCCTCGCCCTGCTGGTGTCCAAGCCTCTGCCTCGCGTGGCCTTGGCCCCGCACCAAGCTGGTGAGAGCGGGCGCTGGTGCCATCTCTCTTGGGTCTGCTGCCTGCAAGGACAGTCTCCTCAGGGTCCCCTCTCCAAGCTCCCACCCACTCCTGGTTTCCCACTCAGTGCAAACTCTTCAACCCCCAACCTCTTCACTTCTCCCCTCAGCAGTGACCACCGTCTGTGGCTCCACTCACTGTCTTGTTATTTTATTCTGCCTCCCTTTCCAGAACGTCCTCACCTGGAGGACAGTGTTTTCACCTGCTGCTCACGCTCGTCTCCGTATTACAGCGCACCAAGGCTGTGCTCCACACAGATTGGGCTGCAAAATGTGCTGCCAGCCAAGTCCCATCACCCGGGCCCACGCTAGGCGGTCAGCGCTGTGGACACATCGTGAAGTGCTCTGGGAACCCCACCCGATGGGAGCAGACAGGCGAACAGAGGCCTCCGCACAGCCCTGAAGCCTGCAGGGGAAGACTTTTCTCTGCCACGATGACCAAGTTGCTGAGAGAGGCGGCTGAGCCAAAGGCCCAGCCTCTGCAACCCCAGGGCGCATTCTCCCGAAGGAAAGACATCACACCCCAGCTCTGCCACCTCCACACACAGAAAACGTCAATGTATCTTTAGGTCAAAACGACTCAGACCCAACCAGAGCTCCCCCGTCTAGAATAATCACATGTTTAATGAAATGACTCACTGTTCCTACCTCTGTGTACCCGAATTCAATTCAAAGTGCGACTGTCGGAATGGCTCTGGCAGAATAAAATCTGTCAAACTGATTTCTGGGTTCAAATCTTCACTTTGCTGATCTAGTAACTCTTTGTCTATCATGGAGACTTTATTTCCAGTTAACAGGAGTGAAAAGATGGCCTCCTGGGCCTCCCTGGTGGCGCAAGAGGTTAAGACGCAACCTATGAAGCTGTCTGCAGCTATGAAGACAGCTATGAAGCTATGAAGCTATGAAGCTATGAAGCTGTCTCAGCCACTGCAGCATGAGTTCGATCCCCACCCAGGCAGCTACCCACGTGGCACAGCAGACCTCTCCTGTCTCCCCGCTGCTCCCCTCAGCAGTGTATTTCGGTAGATCTGCCTGTTCTGCTCCCCACTCTCTCTGGTGAATCCTCTCACCCCCTGCACCCCTGGCTCACACTCCAGTTCTTGTGTGCATAAATAAAATAAATCTTCAAAAAAAATGAAAAGAAAAAAAAAGAAAAGATGGTCTCCTCCATGACACTGACGCTTCCAGGTAACGGAGAATCCCACGTAACATCAACCATGCTGTTCTGGTAAAATATACAAGTAAATATTTACTGAGTGACTCAATATCTACAAGCAATTAGGTGTGATTTTGTCTGAAATGAAATCAA